TGAAGCTTCCAAACTTCACTATGTTGGAGCGTGGAGATGCACCCGCTGGTGGTTGCGGCCCAAGGSAACGGTGCGCCCTCTCTACATGCAGATCCGGCATCTCCTCCTCAGATATCTGCAGACCGTCACGCAGTAGCTTTTCAACAAATATTGCCATAGTTGTAGAGTCCTTCTCGGCTCCCTCACAGACGCCGTATATCCTTATGTTGTCTCATGTRGAGCGACTTTCCAAGTCAGTTAGCTTGTCTTCTAGCTTCAGATGTAGCTCCAGCAGCTCTWTCATGACATCTTCAGTGTTTTGTATCCTCTCCTCTGCTTGTCCAATTCGCTCCTCTGCTTCATCCAGTCTTGTATTTATCTTTGAAACCTCGYCTCTAATTGTCTCTAGCTTTTCATTATTTTCCTTCTGAAACTCTTAGTTCCTGGAGGAGTTTTTCTTGGTCAGTCATGGCTAAGGTGCTAACAGATAGGTCAGCTAGCCCTAGCTTTAGCATCAATTGTCGGGACTTGAAAAGATGAAAAAATAGTAGTAACTCTCTTTCCACCGAACAATATRATGTTCTAGGCGATGTGTAATAAGTCCTTCACTGGTTTGTTATATTTTGCGCATTTGCCAAAACAAACCATGAATCTAGCCAATGATTTATTTCCTCATTAACCTTTGAATCAGGTACCAAAGCAGTGACGTAACTTCTCCACTTTCGAAGCTTCGGACGTCACTGATCACATGACTTTTACCAAATGAATCAAGCTCTGACACAGTGCTTCTGAAACAGTGTGTTGTTTTTTTTCTTCAATGCGCTGAAGCTTCAGCTTCAAACTGCCCATCACTAGAAGTTCATCTTATTTTATTTTATGTTTTACAATTTTTTAGAACTTGCGGAGTTTATGAGAGAGAGGTGTAGCTTTGAGTAGGTTTGACATCGAGCCAGATGTGGCAACACGGATCAGCTGGATTTGGGAGCAGAAAGCAGTTACCACTCCCCTGAATGCTGACTACCTGAAGCAACTCCAGTTTGCAAAGCKATCTCGGGACCTTACGTAAATAAGTTCTTTGGGAACCGACAACACGCCAAGTCCCAAAGCAGTCAGGTACCCTGTGAGACGCATCGCATCATTCCTGGTAAGGTTGCTCTAACAATGGCCCGGCGGGTATGTGTGTGCTCAGGAGCTCTCAGCCTTGCTASATCAGCATTGCAGAACTTGGTGGATGGGAACTTGGTTGAAGCTTAGGTCTCCCCCATTAAGCCCGTTTATCTTGGACTAGTTTAGATGATGATTTCTCTTTTGTCTGGTTAGCAAAGGAAAGTTCTCTTTAGTTTGCTTTGAAATAGCTTGATCTTATGAGTTATTCAGAAGAATATGTGAAGAGAAGCTGTTGTGAGATCCATCTTGTTTATRCWAAYGTCACRCTGTTGACAATCTGTGAAAGCGATATGGTTTTAAASTTGTACTTCTGTATGTATTTTTCCTCTGAACCTCAATTTTAATAATACATGGTATATTTAGAAATTAATAACTTTCTCCTGAGTTTTCTTGTCTCACGTCATTAAACTGAAAGAATCAACACCTTCATATTTAGAGACTGAATATTGAGAGAAAAGTTTTTCTGAAGTTTTACTACAAGAACTTCAGTGGTGCCCCCGTAAGGTGAAATTAAACATTTCATACATACTTTATGTTTTATTTTAGCATTTGATACCCCTACATTGTTAACTGCGGCGATGTAAAGAAAACTTGGACTTTAGTTGCATGTTCTGATAAATCCATCTTGCTAATTTAACAAACGGCTTCTGCTCTGGTCCAGGAGCAGATTGTTTTATGAGTGATTCACAGAACCGGCAGCACGATGGTTCAATGGTTAGCACTGACACCTCACAGCAAAATGGTCCTGGATTCAATCCCCAGTTCGGACATGAGGTCTTTCTGTGCAGAATTTGCATGTTCTCCTTTTGCTTGTGTGGGCTTTCTCTGGGCACTCCGGTTTCCCCCACAGCACATGTACAATAGGTTGTCTTCAGGCCCAGGCCTCCCTTGCAAAAGAAATTTGTGATCTCAATGGGATTTGCCTGGTTAAATAATGGTAAAGTAAAATAAAAAACCAGAAACCTCTGCTACTCGTCCTCTGCAGCTTTGTGGCAAACCACGCCCACACAAGTGTGTCACCCCAAATATGTTCCCTCCCCCTGGAGGATGCACTGCAACGGCTGAATAATTCTTAAGTCTGTCTGAAATGAGTGGTGGCTTCATACATAATGATTCAGTTTTTATGCTTTTGTAGGAGTTTTGGGTATATTCTAAAATAGATAATTTGTGAATATATTTAAATATATT